CTGTCAAAACTTTATATTTTCCTGAAGAAGCAAGCGCCTGTTCCTGAACCATTAGCAAGTGTCGACGAAAAAACGCTTTCTATGAAATATGTTGGCGAACGCGTATTACCAGAAGACCAGCAAATTCATCACTCTGTCCTTCTAGCCTACTACAAAGCGTAATCTCCCCGTAATGTTTTCAAATACTAGTATTCTCTTAGTCAAAGTAATTATTCGTTTGTTTATTTATTAAATCACAGAAGTTATTTATTATTAATATTTTCACACTAATATCTTCAACTAGCCATGAATTCGTCTGAACGTAAGCCAGCTGTAAGTCAAAGAGCACCTGCATTTTCAGTTTTTGTTGATAGTCGAAAGTCGTCAGCGTAGAAAAATTTCTGACATTTTTCTAGGCATATCATGAACAGAAACTGTGTTATTACTGATCCGAAAAACAGTCAGTTATGGAGAATTCGCCTGGTGCAAACCTAGTAGCTGATGAAATCTTGTATTCCTTTATTACAAAATTTTGTCAACAGTAGGATATGCCGACCACGTTTATGTAAAAACATAGGGTGACATTCATGTGCCCGAAGAAATATCCAATGAAATCAAAAAACTGATTCAACATTCAGATGCAACTGCCTGTTTGGTTATACTGTCGTTTAGATAAGCTTCCTTAGCTATACATGTATTACCGTTATCGGACACCAGTGACTACTGTACCCGTAGGTTTAATTTGATTTAATATGATTACTTCCCCTAACAGATGATGTAAACTCGGAGTCGATGTTTCACAGTATGAATGAAAATCGTATTAATATTGATATGGAGCAGCAACGAAGGTCTGACATTCTCGTCATTGCGTATCATTTGCTTTAAAATAATATTCGAAACTTTTATAGTCCTTGACGGGATATCTGAGGTCAAGTAACAGAAAAAAAACCAGTGTGAAGCGGTGCATGTAATTTGTCCGCAGTTACCCCAGTTACTTTAGAGGCGATGGCCGCGCAATGAGCCAAGCAAAGTCTCGTTATACGACGAAGCACTAACGTTTATGACTCAAAGATCTAAAATCTGAACCGCGTAGTTCCAGCACTTCCAAAAAATGTGCAAACTTAAATGGTGGCTTGAGTTGATTTTGTAAGTTTTCCTTGAAAAATCAATGTCGAAAACGGTCGTGTGCCAGTTTAAATACGATCGTTGAGAAGTACGCTGAACGCCGGCTCCAAGAGGCATAAACATGTTATTGGATAAATCGACATTATATGATGACAAATACCGAATTGACATCGTTTTCGAATATAAATGTGAGAAAATCAATTTGCAAGTTTCATAAAGTCATAGGAATGAACGTTACCAAGTGTCTAGTGATTTACTCTGCTATCGGAGTTTTGATGACGAATCTCATTAATGGCTTCAAGTGTCCAGATGAAGACGTTTTAGTGGACGTATCGAAACGAAAGAAGGACGTAGTGACCAACATCGATGCTCTGACGGCTTTGTCAAACCCGCGGTATTCTCCTTCCGGATATTCTTCTCAATCACTGTATTCGCGCTGCCGATATCCGACATATGTGGCTTTCCTACCACCGGTAAAATATGTATTCTTAATTAAAAATAAATTTTAATTACCATTTTTTCAACGAGTATATTCTAAGTATATGTCCTCATTTATAGCTACGTAAAAATCTTCAATACAAATTTCTTCGCAAGACACATGTCTGCTATAAAATTAGTCTTGCATATCGAGGAGAACTATGATAAAGTAAATGAATCCTGAATACAAAAGTACTGTAAAAATGCTGCCAGAAATCGTAAT